ACACACACACACACACACACACAGTATATATTGTCACACCATTGGACTACTAGTATGTCATTATGGTGATCTGAATTTCAAATCTTTCAGTATCGCAATTTCATTGGGGTCTACAAAATAAATACATTTCGTATTATGATGATTTAACGTGCACAATATCAGATCTCTGGAAGGAGGGAGGGGATGAAAGGTCAGGTGCATTTGCATCAAACTTTGAAATGGCCAAAAGGTATGTGTAATTCACTGTACCACTTAATCTCTGCACCAGAATCAAAACTGTGACACATCTTTAACAAGGGGAATTTCCAAAGTGCTTCCCTATGAAAGAATGTTTAATTTGAAACAAAACAAGACATTTTTTCAAAGATTAAAATTTGCTACACATTAAAAAAATGAATTTGAGAAGTAAAACATTGTATGTGATGGATGTAAATCCCGTTCTAGTTTAAAACAGTATAAACAGATATATAATTTAAAAAAAACATACTAGATCTATTCTATCAATACCAGTACATTTTGAAAAAAAGAAATTAAGGTGTTACCTAAAAAAGCATCCAGCAGGAAATGCATAAATAAAGCACAAATGCATTCATGTGTTCATCATCTTCTACAAAACACATAAAGATAACTAGAGAAATAAAAAGACAAAATACCAGTTCATTTTCAGTCTGCCTTTGAAGAAGATGAATAACAAGCAAGATACCAAGAAATAATCTTTGCTGTAATCTGTCAAAAAGCCAACTGTTCCTGGAATATGGTCAAGCTCTAGAGCTCTTCAATTGTCTTTGTAAATCAATTGTTTCTATGCCAGAAGATTAATTGTTTTAAGCAGACCATATATCAGGGAGTTAATGGTAAATAAAGCACTTCACCTAAACCTCTGTTCTGATTGATTGCGCAAATCTGCTTTCACAACAGTGAACCAGCCAAGTTTTGTTTAAGCATTACCTTTAAATCTTTCTGATATTGCCAGATGGATGGGAGAACAAACAAGGAATGGATGAGGGACACGGGTATGAACTGGGGTTTACTTTATGACCAGAAACCACGTGTATCATTACAATGGAAAAAGAATAAATATGAAAGAAAAAGTAACCAATCTCAATGAATCTGTTTTGCTCAAATTTTCTGACACATTGAAGAAAATTAATATAAACAGTTGTTGAATAACTTTTCATTGAAGAGCTACCATGTAGCCAACTATGGCATCTTTGTCTCACAGGCCTAAAATCAACAATATCTACTGATTAAGAAGAAAATGTTGAATGGCGTATACAAAAACAAAATTGATCTTTATATAACAATATATTAAAAGTGTAAAACAGAAAATGCATAGAGAAATTATGCTCATTTTCACCTGGTATTAACTACAAACTGTCCTAAATTATATCCACTCAAGGACAGGTAAATAAGAGACCATTCCCAGAGACTATCGTACTAACTTTGGATGGAACTATCTCTAAAGGGATTCTCACTTAATTGCAATTAACTTGGGCAGCTTAGATGTCTGTTATGCCTCCTGAAGCTGATAGGGGGTAACTATGGTTTAGCAGCTTTAGTAGGCGTACCAGATGTCTAAGCCACTTGAGCTGAAAGCAATTTAGACCCCGTGGAGATGGACCGATTCTGTTAGATCCATCTAGGGATGGGAACCCAGTCTAAGTCTCTATACAGCTGCAGTAACAATGCAATAAAATACTTTGTTTAATTGGGGAAAAAAGAAGACTTTTCAGAAGCACCAACAGATGATAAATGATTTTTTACATCCTGTTTAAGCTTTCAAAGATGGTAATATGTCTGTGCAGAGAAAGTGATATAACTGAACCTGGTACTATAAAATCCCTGACAAATTAATTGGTCAACACATTTTAGCTCATGAACCACTGAAATCTAAAACACGTCTTACTACATAGCTGATGTACACATTTATTTCCTATACCCAATTCTTACCTCCAAACATGAGGGATGAACCCAGGGCATCTTTCTTCACATATAAGGCAGGGCTGTCCTTCATCTACTTCATTGATGACAACTCCCTAGGGAAAAAGACAAGAAATAAAACTTTAAACACCACAACACTATTAATGATTTCAGTAATGAGAAAGTTTCTACCTCACATTAGGCCAGGTGGGAGAACTGAATATTTGCTTGTCATGCTTGGAAAATCATCAAAATATTACTGAAATGAAGCTGTAGTTATATTTTGAAATGAAACAGTATTATCATTATTCAGTATATAATCAAATAATACCATGCAGTAATTTTTTTCAAGAAAAAAAGGAAAAGTTCTGGAAAAATAGGCAAAATAATTTTTTCTGTGTATTCAGCTTCTCATTTACAGCAAGATGTAACTAGAAGCACATACGAATGTTGACCTGGAATGACCAACCAGGACCTTATATCATAACACCCATGCCAGAGGGGATGGTAACCACTGTGTCAACATGTCTCTACGCTATCAACACATTTGATGGACATAACCTTGAACTAAAAAAAAAAAAGATGATGGGCCATGTTCTGAGGATGGTCCAAAAACATTGTTGGCTTCAAATGTGTTACAAGATGACAAATTTAAACTAATTTACAAAGAAACTGCATGACTTGAATTTCAGTCTCTCTCTCTCTCTCTCTCTCTCTCTCTCTCTGTACATCTTCATCAATCAGTAATTTAGACATCTAACTCACAGATGGATCCATGTGGGTTTATTGTAAAGCAATCTTTAAATATCTTATAACTATTGAAATGTTCAGCAAAAATTCTTAAACATGGCTTTACAGTTAACACAACACCACTCCATTTGCTTTTCTCCATTTGGGTCAGAAATATTCAGATCCTGGATCCAGTTTATCAGAAAACAAGGATAGCACACTTCAATAAAAAAAAGTTAAAATCACATTAGAAATTCTTAAAATGTGACATTTCTGTATTCAAAAAATAAGAATCTGGCTTTTAACCATATTACATATGTTTTAAAAAGATTATGTTATTATTGGAACCAATTAGCAATTATCAAATTTGACTAAATAACATCACCACAAGCAAACTAGTTGCATTGACTGCATTCACATTCAAACATCATACCAGTTGGATTGATCCAATTCTGCAAGGGATTCTTGCTAAATTGCATTCAGTGTTATCAGTTTTATTGTCTGACACGCCTCCCTGAGTAGCTAATTAAATAGTTAATTACCCCCTACCAACTTGAGAAGGCATGTCAGACATTTATAGTAAGCCAATTACAGTGATTGCACTTAGGGAGAATCTCCAGTAGAGTTGGATCGGTCCAGCTGGTATGATGGGTTTATCTGAACACTCCCATTGAAGTGGATAATCATTCTTAGTATTATTAGCATCACATTCAGTGGGTGCTTGCAAAAATACCACTAAGTGTGTGCTCTAGAAGTCTTCCACAGATAGGAACTGCCTTATCAGAACTAGACATTCATTGTATTTTCATGCAGCTCAATGTGCTATATAATGTAAACACTTCAGTATACATGTACTATTTTCTGGATCCTCAGCCCACCTGTATGCTTTTGTGTACATTTGTTTTGTATATGTGAGTGAACAAAAACGGTTTCCACAATTAACTTCATATTTGTAGTGTAAAATAACATTTGTAAGTTCAAACTGCTTAATTTTTAGTAATCCATTCCAAAAAAAAAAAAAATTTAATTCAATTTGGGATATTTCCAATATAATATCTGTAACTTTACATTGTACCTAAAGGAGTAAAAAAAATATTATTATGCAATTAAGAAAAGCAAAGTAAGGATATTTTGCCCTACTCTATATTCATGCCTTTTTACAACAAAACAGTACAGTGCTTGGTGGAATTTCAGTACAATCTCAAATCTTTTCATCTAATAATAAAGATTAGATTAATATCTTATTGTTGTAAATGGCAAAGCAAGGAGTTACCAGTATAACACCTTGGGCAAACTGAACTGTTGATAGACCAATGCCCATTATGGTATACCTGACAAAGTTATAAGCAGAAAAATATAGCCGGCAAGAATGAAGTAAGGGAAAATTACAGGAAAGTCCTGAAAACCATCCACATCAAGACAGGGGGCCAGTCTCGGCAGAAGTGATGGTGCCATGTTCTGCTAGTGCTAGACATAGAAATATTGGAGGTAAAAACTTTTTCAATATTAAGCTGTTGACTGAAGAAAAAATTACTTCATTCTTATAACATAAAACAACTGATGAAATTCTTTTCTGATAGTTGACAAGAACAATTCACACAGAACTTTGAGAATCAGGGTACCTACATATGATACCATAATAACTGCAGGCAATTTTCTATTCTTCAGCTCAAGTGCAACTGAGAAGATAATTGGTAGGTTGATTGTATGGCACAATATCAATCACTTGTTCTAAAATGAGTGGAAAAATGACTTTGGTGTAAAAATATACTTTTAAAAATTAGGACATGTTATGTACGCAGAGCACATCTTATGAAGTCACAATGCAGGCATGATTCAGTTTTCAAACAGCATGTTTTCAGTCAACAGTCAAAAAAAAAATCCTGTCCTATCCTATGCAAACAAAAGTATCCAAACTTGGATTTGCCAAAAGCCATAAGGACTATGTTTTAACAAATTTCTGTGCCATTTTTATCATGACCTAAGTTTGTAATGAGGCCAAGGTGTTTCATGACTTGAACATTTTCTTTTTGAGAATTTTTTTTTGCTCAGTTTTAAATGTCAGCTGTGGCGGGTAATCTGGGCAGTATGCAGGATGCATTTTAATGTTCAACTCCATACTATTTACTTCAATACATTTGCATACACAGATGCTAATAATTTGCCCATAAAAAATTAAGTAGTCAGGGGCATAAACCATACATGGTCATAAATTGTTAAAGATGTGAAAAATGATGAGATAATCTGGCCTTTCATCAAACCTTGACCATGTATTTATGACCAGAGAGAGGACACCATTATTAGAGTTCTTTGTTTCTAGTTCCCTACAACTAACAGCATTAATATATTAAATAATTTGGCACTATAAGCATTACCTATGTAAATAATCATGTTAGGACAGTAGTGAGAGAAGTCAACTGAGCAACTGTACAGTTTCTATCATAACTTACATTAGCACTTCAAATTTTGTTTTTTGTTTAATAAGGTCTCTTATAATGTATATAATCTAAAAATATCCACTTTAGTGGGATTTGAATCTTATCTGTAGACTATAATATATTTTTATAAACATAGTAAATTGTTTATGTACTGAGTATGTAAGTGACTCATGTTGTTCCTAGAAACATAATAAGATGACAAACTTCATGATTTTTTAAACACTGAAACCATTACTTGCCACACATACATGGCACCAACGTTCAAACCAATGGTCTCTGCAATTCTTGCTGTCTATTGTCGCATTTACTGAAAAAGAATGGATGATCTGCGGACTAACTGAACCGCTGACTAAATATGGCTGACCTCACATAAAAGCAAGCCTCACAATCCCCTGTTGGTCACCCCACCCCCACACACATCATTAAACAGAATAAATCTCAACTTTAATTGCTAGGCCCCTGCAGTGGGGGCATGAGTGGTGGCGGGAGACCATCAAGAAATTAGTTGGCATTGCTTTTAAGTGGGTCGGCTATATTTAGTCCACAGACCTGTTAGTCAGTGGATCAACTAGTTCTGAATGTGCTCTAGTAAGAGAATAACATAATGTGAGTGCATTTAGTTTCCTTAAAACTGTTTCCAACTCTCTTCAGATGGACAAATTAAACCTTTAAAAGTTTTTTTTAACTTTGTTAAATTTATGAGACTTTTAAAAATGAAAAACAGGCTGAATGCAATTTAAAATGTAAAAGACGTCTGGATTATACATAAATGATAAATGACTATCTGTGGCATTTGTGTTGAGGCCTAGATACTATAATCACTCATTTACCACTGAAAATGTCTTCACCTTTCTCAAAAAAATAATCACTTTATTTATCATATTATTCACAAGTAAGTTAAGATGTCCCCCACAGTCACTACAGTCTATATAGGCTTATCATGAGTCTGCATCTGCCTGCAAACTGTTGGGACTACTATTTATAGCTACAAAGGGATCTTGCTACTGTAAGTAAAAGTGCTTTTGGTTTTATTATACATGTTAATTTTGACGGTAACATTTATATATGTGTTTCATAGTAGGCGTTATTGGAAAACCATTATGTAAGGTCGCTGAAATCGATTTATAGATAAGATTTAAAGAAATAACTGACTTATGAATATCAGAAGCAACCTTGTTCCACAAGTTCGACTATTTTTTAATCATAAAATCCTTACTATGATAAGAAGTTACAATTTATTTCCTCAATTAGCATAAACTTCATGTTGTTTAAAACAACTGTGCACCCCAGCTGTACTTCACATCCTTAAATAATTACACTGACATAGGAACAATCATTTACACCTTAATGCATCCTATAATTAGTAATCAAATGGTCCAAAGACATCACTTCAGACTAACAAAAAGTTTTAATTTCAGCAAAAAAAAAAAAAAAAAAAAATTCTCACCTGTCTTGCCATTACTTAACCTCCAATCTCTTTTCCACAACTCATAGGAGTAATTTTTTTCCTTTCTTCTTCATAAGGAGATAAGTCCAAAATCACCTTAAAGTTAACAAGGAACTACGTACACATTGGTAAGTGAACTATGTTATGGACTTAAATGTTTTCTAAGTGAAGGTCTGCCTTCCAACTGTGTTGATTCAACCAGGAAAGAACATATGACTACATGGAGAGGCCAACCATCACAAGTTCTCTAATCACACATGCGGTCCAACAACATTCACCACCCATATGTATGGGACCTCATCATTCTTAAAAACATGCGGTTAACAAATGAGGCCAACAAGAATTAAAAATTGATAAATCTTTGCTAGAAATAAGTCAAGTCCCTAGACAATCTAACTTGGTGTTGTTGCTTTTATGTATGCCTGAATATTTAGCATAAATCACCTGGAATTGGCAAAATAGCCCATAACTTGGAAGCAAAGTATCCCACAGGACTTGATTATTTTTTTTACTGTGACCTATCCCTTCCAATGCTGCACTTGCATTACCTAGCATGATAAGCAGCTTTATTATTACTGTCACTAAATCATTCTGCTACTTTACTATTCTGCTGGGAATTAAGAAAAAGAACAAATGGATTCCAATCTTTCGTCCAGACAAACCACCAATGACGTAGTCCTTCCTGTTTTAATGAAATTAAGAAGCAATTGATGGAGTCTGCAAGCAGATAATGTGGCGCATCATGCATTCTGCTTCTATGTCCTTCTAATGACCACAGATACCATCACATGTACTGGGAATATTGTATATATTGAATACTTTTTTCTAAAAGTAGGAGATTGCAACACTAATATTTAAGACACTAATTTAGCATTAACATCAATATAATTGGAGTCAGCTGCCATGCAAGCATGTTGTTTGATGGCCTGTGCAGTCTTATGCGCTTACATGTACTTAATGTGTTTTGCTGCTTGGTCACATTACAGGTCTGGACTAAAAATAGACATAAAAAAGAAAAACACTGTCTCGTTTTCTTGCAGCATGTCTTCTAGCTAAATACTTTCATGTATAATAATATAATGAAAATATCATACAAGTCACATAACAGAATAATTTGTTTTTTCACTACAAAAGATGGTAACTCTGTTACTTTAATTTGTGCAAGTTCTATTGCTCTGGGTATTCATTGATGAGCAATTCAAAAAGAAAATGAGAAATGATTATTATATTTGGTTTGAAAATTATGCACCATCACTTGTATCCAAAGTTTCAATGAATGAACATTTAATGCTTTTGTAATACAGAAAACATAATTTGAAGGCGCTCTTCACTGACTACATGGAATTATTACTTATGAAGATACCAGTATGCTTTACTGATTGTAACTGTCACAATACAAAAAATTCAGATGATGGAGATTTTGTTATCCACATGAATGCCATGCAATCTGACTGGTATGTAAAACTTTCATGTAGACTTTATAATAGATCAATTGTAATGGGAAAAAAGAAATCCTCTTTATTGTCTGGGTGACACCTTTCTTTTCTGACTGACTTTGTTAAAGCTCAAACCAAAGAATTGCTTTGAAAAAATCATAACTCAGTAGGTAGTGTTATTATGTTGCACTGCATGTATTCTATTCACCAGTGATAAAATCTGTAATCTATTATCAATGAAATGACTTTAGATGCATGTTTTTATAGCCTACTTTGTTTTGCTAGTCTCACACATAATTGCTGCTAGTATAAATTTGATTCTCTTTACACATGTATTGAAAAGTGACATAAATGTGTAATGCAGCACAACGGTTTACCAAAGAACAGAAAAAAATGTCATACAGTTAAAATTTGATCTTTTGGCAGTACATTGTATTTCAGGTGAAAGATCTTGATACAGGTTATATGCATGCACGTATATTGTCAAAGTCAGTTGAACTCTAAGGTTAAGTTGATAGCTTTGGTGTCATACCACAATGACAAAGTAAAATGAGTGTTGGTGAAAAACCAGGCCCTTCCTACTTCAATAAATCATCTCATCCCTAAAACCTTGTAGACTGTTGCCTATCCCTACAGCTTGCAAGAAATACTAGTAATTTGTCCACTTGTAGAACTATTGCTAATCTACTATTTTTTCTTAGAAGTATACTAGTTAAAACTACGTATATTTCAACATTTCGAAATTGTAACATTTTCAAAATCTAAATCACTGTTTTAACAAATATACATTTCCCTGTTGAAAATTATAATTGTTTATGGTAATTACACATGCACGGCACTTTTTTGAGGTACTTTCACCAGCATGCTTTGTTCTGACTATATTCCTCACCCACCCCAAAATTCTCTTATGGTTACCTTTAAGATATCACCAAAAAATCGATACATAATTATGCCAATGGTTTCCTTAACAGTCTATTCATTATATTTGTATCAATCCTGTGAGCTATAAAAAGACTAAAGAACTAACATCAGGGCACTTCACAGAACTCACACGCGTTGTTTAAACACATGGGCAAATACAATTACACACATCTAACATATGTTAGCCACTTTGGCGTTACCAAGAAACACAGAAAATATCTCAAGTATGATACATATAATGAATTCCTACATCTATTAATAGGTCTACTAATGATTCTAAGCAATCGTGTCTAATTTTCATTTGCTTTATGATATCTATGTTTCAATAAAATGATGGAAGAGTTACAATGAAGCTGCCAAAGAAAACATATACTAGTACAATAAAATAATCATCACATTTGGTTTTAAAAATGGTTTACATTTCTTTCTATTTCATCGAATTTACCTCAGCCATAAGTCGTGTAAAGCAAAAAAACTTGAGATAAGTGCCTTGTTGTAACCCATATACCTGACAGCTCCAGGCAGTGGCTGTCAGTATGTCTTTTTAGCATTGACTCAACATCAAACTTGACATATATTACACAACTTAATGTAGTTATTTCTGCTTGTAGATAGAAATTACCAATGCTTTCTTTCTTTCCAACATACTGAAAAATACTGAACATGGAAAATTAAACCTGATATAATAAAGGGAGTATATGCATGAACAAAGTAGATGTAGCAATGATATTTACAATGAAAATTTCTTGAAAAACAAAACAAAAAAAAAAAAATTAATGGAATAAATATATATTGTTTCATCCAAACAAAATCCACTACATCAAACACTATGGGCATAAAACACTGCCCTCATCACTCAAAATCACTCTACACAACCATAAATATAATTCACATCTACCAGAAGTGCCCACATACACTGATATATAAACATGAATTTACCTGTATATGATTATTGTTATTTATAGAATATTTCCCTACGTCACCCATTTCCAAAGTAGTCTGCTGCAGTGTTTTTATTTTATCTACTTTTCAGAATATTTTCTTTGGTTCTGTTTCTGTCCTCAGCAGTATCAAATGTATCCTAATGTATTTACATGCAGGTAAATACTCCCTTCATCTTACTCGGTATAATCCATCAAAAAATCCACTCCACTTTAAAAATCTTTAGTCACAAAATCCTTTGTAAAAAATGACTGTCATACAATCTTTGTCCATCAAAAGGCCACTCCAACAGAATTAGTCAGATATGATACAGAGGGCACACTTCACTTCCAAAGCTCTGCTGGCTGTATTGATTGCACAAGGGTCCTCAAGCATGTAAATGTACTGTGTTGCCTGCCCAGTGGCAATTTTTTTTTAATGTCCAAAGCCGGCTTCTTATGGATGCACGTGCACCTACAAGTACAACTGGCACGTCCCTTCTTACCAGGGCAAAGAACAGGTCCTGTTGTCACACTGCTGAAGGCCTCAATAACTTATCTCTCTGCATGCTTGTCACACAAAGGCAGTCATCTGAGACAGCTCCTGCATATCAAATGACTCAACGCTGGCATTTAAATAGAGCTTGAGCTCATGTGTCTAATCTCATTCATGAAAAAAGCTACATCCCAGGTATGATGGTTTTAGGGATAGGCAACCACAGCAATTTTTGCACTTTTTGTTTTATACAAAGCATGTTACAGACGGACCAACAAACTTAAATATAGAATATATCACTTGCTTTTTTTTCTATTACTGAAAATTGGTATTAAGTTCAATTGCTTTGTCTTAGTTTTTTTACCACATTTTTTTTCTCATTTCCTTTACTTACATTTTTATTACACAGGGTAGGTAACTTTTCCAAGAAAAATCAATGTTTTACTCCCAGTTAAGTCATCAGACACACTTATTCGTACATGAATAGTGTACAGGTTGAAGAGGACTTTTTATGACATTTTAATGGTCTCTGTGATTCTGGCTACATTGAAATTAGAAATAAAACAATGCATGTGAGCCAAAATAAAAACAAGAATTTTGGGAGAGTTTTAAAAGTCTAACTGTGTAAACTGTTCATTAACCTTAAAATTTAGGAATGAATTTGATGAAGTTATACATTTTGATATTTTAAAATCATGTATAAATTGTTTATCACTTTTTAGCACAATTTTTCTCAAAAAAAAAAAAATAATAATAATAAAATAAAGAAGGGTAAGAGCATACAGCAAATTAATCAAGGTATATCAAAATTGTAATTAGATGAGTGAAATTATGCAGGCATACTAGAATTCTGATAACAATTGTTTTACTTTGGAGCTACTTCATGAACTAATATTAAGACAAAAAGTTAAACACTGATCTATTGTCAGTGCCCCTTGTTCCTTCTAATTGATGCTAACACACAGACTATATTTTCATACTGTGACTTAAAGCATGATGTCTGGTAATAAGTATAGGTCAGACAGTAGAGCTACAATGGAAGATTGTTTTTTGTACTTTTTTTTCACCTGAGGCATTTCTTAAAGTTCAATAAGGGGTAAAATAAATGTTTACACCTAAAGAAATATGCAGCGACCTGACACATTAGATAAGGCAATCCATATTATTTAGCTCAAGTGAAAATGTACAACAAACATCTATTCACAGCAACCCAATATAACGGAAAAATCAAGAAACATGATGCATTAAAATATGACTCATAGAATAAGAGATACTGAAGTGGTCTTTAATAATTATGTTTAAATTAAACTTCAATTCTTATTTAAATCCAAAGATAAGAGATTTTTGTAATATTCTGGATCACATTCTGCTCAGTCAATGGCTAACATGGTAATCTGCATTAACCACAAGTAAAATAAGCACAAGACTGCTATTGAGATTTTGGCTTTTTATGTTATCAGATTATCATGTTGGACAGAAATTGAGGCCAGTAAACATACTTTCTTGGTACACTTTAACATTATTATAGAGAGAAAAACAAGACCTTATTTCACCTCTGTACTTAGTGACACTATCACAACATTATCCCATGAGAAACAGCACTAGCTCATTAGATTGCCAACAACTCTCCAATCTTTTCTTCAATCTATAAGCTGCCTATATCAATGGAGTCTGAAAGCAATCATTCCCTGGAGATCTCATGGTGTGATTGTGACTTCATCTCCTCTACCACAATGCATAATGAATTCCAGCCCAACTGACCATGTCAAGACAGGTACAGAAGTCACACATATCCTAGAACACTATTTATAGACAACAGTTTCTCTTTTATATTTCAACATTTCATCAGTTTGGTAGGTGACAGAGATTGAAAACTCTTTTGTCACAAACTACTATAAAAATTATCACTAAATGAAATATTTCCCTTGGCATGTCCAATTATTCCATGGAAATGATAAGTTTTTGTTCAGTTTGTGACAAAAGAGTGTTTGACATAAGTCCCTCTTTTAATCCTCAAAAATTATATAGCCATCTCCAAGTCCACTCATGAAATGCATCACACACACACACACACACACACACACACATACACACAGGTTTGTGAGTGGAATTCTTTTAGAATTTTTACGTAACAAAATACTATCTAACAAGACTCAAAAGACTCCAAAGCTGTCATTTATCAGGATGATACAAAATAGTTGATAGCTTTGTACAATAAATGCATAGGCTTTTAAAATTGCAGTTTGATATATATCAACCACTGTGACACTATTTTATATCATGTAAAAAATATAAGAGGCCCAGAATTCTCCTTATAAAACAACTAAATTTTGGGCTTAGCTTTAATATCAGCTAAATTTGGATAACTGACGGTGTAAGGGGAATTTTTGGCTATTGGTCTGAGAATGTTTTTTTCACAAACCAGTGGTTGACAAATTGGTACGTCTTAAAACGGTTGCCATTACCACTGTGAGAAAAATTTAGACTGAAGATGCCTAGAATTTAATTTTAATGGCTTTGTTTCAAGCTGCCCCCCCCTAAAAAAAAAACTTTATGAAACACAATTCATCAGAACAAAGTGGAAAGTTGCTGATCTTGACTTTCAGACCTAAAATTTTGGTGAACTAACACATGAATGATAATAATGTAGTACCTGATCCAGTTTTTCAATGAAATAAACTAGAAAAGCACTCCGAGAGTGCAGACGTCAGCCAAGGCAGCGATTATTGATTATTATTGATTATTGATTGATTATTCATCTGAATCACCACTAAAAACTAATCACTTCTATGTCAACCCATTTCCCACCTACCCTTAAAAATTTCATCAAAATCGATCCATAACTTTTTGAGTTATGTTGATGACAAACAAACAAACAGACAGACAGGCAGAGGTGAAAACATAACCTCCTTGGTGGAAGTAATTAACTATCCATCTACAACATATATCTTGTATTATTATAATCTTTACATACTTCTTAACTAGAAAAGCACTCCGAGAGCGCAGACCTCCGCCAAGGCAGCAGTTTTTGATTATTATTGATTATTGATCTGGATCACCACCAAAAATAATCACATCTAAGTTAACCCATTTCTGACCTACCCTGAAAATTTCATCAAAATCGGTATATAACTTTTGAAGTAATGTTGATGATTGATTTTTGACTAATGATTAATGATTATTGATTGATTATTGATCCGGATCACCACCAAAAACTAATCACTTCTAAGTTAACCCATTTCTGATCTACCCTGAAAATTTCATCAAAATCTGGCCATAACTTCTGAAGTTATGTTGATGATTGATTTTTGATTATTGATTATTGATTGGTTATTGATCCGGATCACCACCAAAAACTAATCATCTCTTCCTTGGCCTACTTCTGACCTACCCTAAAAATTTCATCAAAATCGGTCCATAACTTTTTGAGTTATGTTGATGACAAACAAACAGATGGACAAACAGGGATGAAAACATAACCTCCTTGGTGGAGGTAATTAATTTGAAGATCAGGTATAAATTCTCATTTAAGTAGACTACTCATGATTTAGCTTGCATCAAAATGGACAGAAAGATTTGATTTCAAAATTAATACCAATTTTGACTTGTGGAAATCTTTGGTGAAACTTTTCCCTGGCTAAGTCTGCTATATCCTTATCAGGCATAGACTTAATTTTTTTTTTTTTTTTTTTTTTTTTTGTGAAATAGGCCCCAGTTAAATATACTTTACCTCTGCATTTTGAACGATAATCTGAGGAATGTTGTAAGTATTCATGTCATGCCTTGTCCCAAACATAGTATTATCAGTTAGGAGGAAATCAAGAGCTCCATTGTGTTTATTTGGCACAATTCCCAGGGACATTGTCATAGTGTTGATACAGTGAAGCAGTTACCCCTGAAGTCAAAACATAGAAATTAAATCAAATGTCTCTATAGCAACAGTAACTCCTTAATTTCCACATGCTGCACTAAACATACACTGCACATATTATGCAGATACTCTCGTTCTACTATTTTTTAAATTTTTTACCTCACCAACATGACATTAATAACAGGTACAGTACACATGCTCTCTATACATCTGAATCTGAAAGAATACATTCTTGATGAGTGAACTCTTCTGATAGTTCTAATTTGTATTGATGAACAGGGAAACGTAATTTAGGCTTTCAAGACTTACCTGATACCTAAAGTATACTGACATGCACAAGCTCATAAAGCTTTGGGATCATAAGTAATTACTCTTTCAAAATCATTTACCCAAAGTGTCAAATTTATGTCAGCAGTGTTCTACAAATAAATATACCCATAAACCCCATTTGACAATCTGCAGATAAATTCACATGACAAAACACAATTTGCTGTATTTATAACCATATGAACCAAAGGAGTGGGGCTGCCTATTTATCTGTTTTTCACTACTAGTACAGTAACATTATTTATTGTACATTTATTACCTGACGTCCTTTCCGTATTTTCTTTTGGACATATATCATGTAGAATTCCCATTAGGTCAAGACCTAGATGACTCTTAATCCTATATAGCATCAGCGCATGTCTTAGGGACATAAACCGCAATATGGAAAAGACATCCCAAAGTATAGCTTAAAACTCTTGTCTCACTTATATTACCAAACTGCATTAAGGCAGAAACAGTTTTTCCGTCAATATGTCAACAACTGATAACAGCTATCAGCAACCACTTCTGTGATCCTTTTATCTGCTATGAAATTAAGATCTTTTCTCTTGACATTCTGATAGAGATTTGTCAAGTGCATATTCCTTTGATAGACAATACTTACTATTCAATAAAAGTATACTAGTACATTGCAGTACAAAATCAATCTTAGCTTTTACAACCTATAAATACTTACAGATCTATACAAACATCCAGTACTAAGATCAGACTGATCTTGAATGTATCATCACTAAAGCACTATAAAAGTCCTCCGATTTAAGATGGAAAATAAAACATTGATTCTTTGCATTTAATAAGAGTGTTAAAATCAACATATATAAACTAGCGGATCAGAGAGGCGATACCGCCTCCGGATATAGTACCACCAGCTGGAGTAAGCGCATTCGTATGGAAAA